GCCTAAATGTCTAAAAAAAAATACACCTGCCTCTCTTGGTAAAATTTCAAACTGTAGTAAAAAAGTACTGTAAGAAGTACAATTGGTTGAAAACATAAACATTTCAGCAAGAGTAGAATAATGCTTTGGGTAACTGTTATGTGAATTGTTTTTGTTTTGAAATGGAATGACATAGAATTTCATTTCTGTCCATGGTCCACACAGAAATCACTGATTTCATGCCAATTCTGTCCCTATTCTGATCAGAATCTGTGCCAAAATGTTCAAAAATCAATTAGCAACTTTTTCTCTTTTTTGAAAAAAAATCTTAATTGTTTGTGATTAAGGTCTAAGATTATAGAATTTTAAATTCTGAGAATTTTGATACCCATTGTGTTAAAGAAAACTATTACAAACCAACTTCAATATATTTTATCAATTTTTCTCATGTTTTTATACTTAGCATTTTTTTCAGCTTTGCTCAGTAATAAAAAGTCTCACAAAAGTTATTTCATTTATTCCTCTGTCCAAAGAACAGGAATTAACAAGACTTCTTACTTTTCACTTTACAGAAAGGCTTTCTAAGAAAATATCTTTCTTGTCTTTGACTAAAGGACTTCACTATAAATGAAGTCCTGATAATTCCTGTCCTCAGGACATATCTGAAAATAAAAGTCCTGAGATTTCCTGTTTTTTCCTGTTGGTAAGATTAAAGTCCTGACAATTCCTGTTTTGTCCTGTTCAGTATCTTCAAAAGTCTTGAGATATCCAGTAAACAGGACTTTTGTTAAGAGGTAGAAAACAAATCCTGGGATAATCCTGGGATTTCCTGGGACTTCCTGAGAACAGGAATTATTTTCTGCACGGGTGTGAGTACCTGCTAGATAGTGATGGTTTTGAAAACTTTCATCCAAAGTACCGAATTGACACATTGCAACTTTTCGAATTACAAGATGATGATAAAAGCTGAGGTATTCTGATTGAAAACAGAAGCATACACCCATTGACAGTCTCTATATGAGTATATCAACTAAGTAAATAACCGAGGTATATCAAGTGAAAAAACAAGAGTTGTTTCCCTTAGTTTCGAGTAAAATCAATATCTCTTATGCAAAACAATGCAAATTTAGCCGTTTTTAAACCGCTAGTTTGGGGCTATTTAATGTCCGATTTTAAAATTTATTACACCAATAAAAAGCTTGTGATCTTAGCTTTGTCTCAGTATATATTTCAACACATTGTTTGACACTGAAGGTATTTAAATTTATGGTTAAACCTACCACAAGTCAGACCATTTTACATATGTTTTATACAGTGAGATACGCAATCAGTTATCTCAGTCTGTGCGAAAGTCTGTCGGTCCTCGGACCTCGCTAACTAAAAATCAGGAGGGCTGAGATAAATTTCGATACAGTCAGTCCTCATGTCCGAATAAAATTTCAGTCACTTTGAAACAATTTTTTGCCTTCTAAAATATGCAAAACTTCCTAGATCGATCTTTTTTTCATTTTTGCTTGTATTCAAAGACCCAGATAACCAAAATCACAGCAAGATACAACCAGTTTTTGCTAAGTAATGTAAGCCATCATCTTGTCTTGGATAATTTCCTTACCAGAACATATTTTTTCTCAAATCTTCAAATTAAACCTTTAAAAGATGTATCACTTCCTTATGAATTATACTAATGTTTTATTCATTATGTTTCTGTATATTTTTTTCGTAGTATCTTATAGTTGAGTCTGATAATTCATATTTGCTAAATATTTTTGTTTATAATTATGGCATTATCCCTCCCCCATCCCTACAAAAAAAACCTTTCAGAGTCCGGCCTGGAAAAAATCATCAGGGCCGGAAATAAATCTAAGAATCCCAGTCCTTGTGGCTGGAAAAAAATTTTGACTTTCGCATTGACTGTTATCTTTACTCGCAATTCTACAGATAATAAAAGCCAGTTGTCTGCTAGTTAGGAGACTGTCAATCTGTGTATTGACAAATGACTGGTGTCCTGCACACTTATATGGGAACAATAATAGAACAGGGCAGGGAACCACAATAAAATGGAAGCAGTGTATAAAATCCTGAATGACAATCTTAAAATGGAAAATGTAAAATAAAAATGAACAATTATTTTATACCTCTATTTCAAGGTAAAAGAAAATCGAGCTCGCTTTGAGGCTTTGTCTTTTTCATATTATTAAATCATAAGAACTTTCCGCACCATAGGTAGCACCAAAGTTCATATTAGAATTTGAGGTTCCTGTGGTTTTAGCAACTAAAATAATCATGATAACGTGCTATTCTGCCTGGTGTGGTTTGTAATGGGACTAATCTAAAAATTAAATGTAGATACAAAATCAAAATATTAAAAAGCAGCATATCAAATTTTTGAATATAAAATGTTGGAAGTTCCAAAATTTTATGTGCCACTTTTAAATGGTTTGATCAAAAAATATTTGTGGAGCAAGCTCAGGCACGAAATTTAAACATTTGTTATTCATAAACGACAAACCTTTGGATTTATTCCTTCTACTGAAGTAAGACCAATACAAATTGGTGTTGAAATATCTTGCGCTGCGCTCTCCCTGTCAAAAGCAACTGGCACAAGAACGTTTTTCTCAAAGAAATCTCGCCAAGATTTCCCCGTTGCGACCGCCGCCATATTTTGTAAATAGTGGACTTGTTTACGGTATAGATTTAGTAATTCGAGAGGCTTTTTTAAACGAAAAATCGGAAAACCAGACTGATATTTTTATAGATTGTACACCACTAAAAATTGTATTCAATAGGTCAAATATGATTAAATATTTTCCTCAGGTGATTTTTTTAAGCGTTGAATTAAAATCAGAATTAAAAAGGCATTAGAAGCGAAAAAATGTATTTCCTTCTTGAGAAATAGCAAACATTAATATTTTAACCTTTAAATAATTGTTTTAGAGCGTGTTACATACTTACCACCTTAATAATGTAGCGCTGAATTATGTGTCATAGAAGTAGCAAAATGTAAACAAAGCAGTATTTTGACTTTTGAACATAGAAAATACTTAATCATTATAAATTAAATAATCATATAATTATAATAACCATACTGTACTGATTGCCAAAATGCAACAGAAGCAACATATGTTTCAGGCTATTGCCCAATGAGTAAATATTTGGAAATTATAGCAGGCCTTAAAAAACTAAAAATAAATCTAGCTTTGGAGAAATAAAAATAAAACCATTTCTGAGGCACGATATATGCCTTTGACAAACTAATTTGAGTCGCAAGGTATGTAATTTTGGGTAAGACCATATTCCATTCAGGTCATGGTATTAGTCTTATCTAGTTTTTGTGTTCTTCTGATGAAGAACCTGAACGGATCTTTAAAATTGTTTATGGTATCAAGATTATCTTCTGATCATAAAGGTTCCTTGAATTAAAACATAGATATACAGTACTACTGAAAAGTTGTTCAAGTTTCATATCACGATGTAAACGACTATGAGGTCTAAAATAGGAACAAACCCGGTACTAAAACGCCCAGCCCCCATACCAAAATATCTCATACCTCTATTGGGACTTGAACCCAGGCCTTTAACAACTAATGGCACGATTATTATCAAAACTCCGTCAAGAATGAAGCGGGTTTCATTGCTGACGTTTATTTACTTCAACAATTAGTTCAAATTAACCAGAGACATTTAACACAGTAAATATAGCTCGATCTCTGCGATATTAACAAGCTATTTAAATTTACATAGATACGATTTCTTTTCTTTTTATCTTTTTTCCCCACTTAATTCGTACTTTCTGTCTCATCTTTCTTATTCATCTTCCTCTAGAAAATAGACTATAATCGTTTTCATACGAACATTGTGAAATGTTCTGAAGCATTCTAGACCGGGTTAATAACATCATCAATACTGATGAAGATTTTGATACCCTATAGGATTTAGTTAAGTTTTAGTCTGATTGTGTGACAGCTCCAGAAGCTTACATTGTACTGATATTGTATGAGGAAAATGCTTGTGAAAAAAACGACGATAGTATAGGGTTTGAATTCACGATGATGATCACTAGGTTGAGAGTAAGACACACAGGGTAACCACAGTGTAGAAACGGTATCACCTTTAACATTTACTTATACAGTTCATTGTACACGTACAGTGTATTGGGCAATTGAGATTGCAAACGTGCAATTAATATTGTATCCTTTTTTTTCGATCACCTAAGGTAGATATACTTCTACACAATAATAACCATTAGGACACCACTCTCCTTCTTTTGTAAGATTCCCTGATGCACTTGTAAATATAATATCACATTTTGATTTCCTCTTCACATTGATAGCTGCAAAAATGACGTTTAATGCTAACATCAAAACTGAAAAATCTTTAATTAAATGAAAGCATACGTAGTCACCTGGGTAAAACAACCAACATTCTGCTTCATAGCTTACTCCCGTGAATGAGCTAACATCCCTAAGGGAACCCACATATGTGGGGGGACTGATTCGATGGCGTTGGTCTTAAGTTTGGTACTTAATATACTCGATCCCGTTATCGTTTACTTTAAAAGATTGCGACATGTATAACTAAATAAATAAATAAATAAAAATAATTGTTACTTTGTTTCTTCTGTCATTGTAGATTTTCCACACACAGTCGCACCTAGTTACTCAAAAAGATTGTAAAATAAATGACGCGGAGTGAACACAGGGGTCAGGTAGTTTGGTCTGTTCTTTCTGCTACCACCATCAAGAAGAAAATGAGAGAAGTTTAGTTAAATATTTATAGAAGATATATTTCTTATTCCAAGGGGATAAAAAGTTGGTTAAAAACAGTCATTTTTACTAGCACCAGTCATTGTACTTATTAATGTCTTCAAACTGTTACAATTTCCGCAATTAATTTTTGTAAACGAGGACAACACAAATTTACACAAATTTTGATACAATAGTGCACAAATCTAATGTTCCACAGCATAGTGTGAACTGTGTGCAACACCGAAACAAATAACAAAGAAAATTACAAATTGGATATCATTTGATAATCTAAATCTATTCATTTATTATTGTTACATTATACGGATCTCATCTCAAATAAACAAGAAAACACATCTTACTTAACATACTTGTAAATAAAAGAATGAAATAACATCGACGTCATACGATTAAAATAAAACGTCTATAATATATTCTCTCCAAATCATATACATGACATATGTACTTCTTTTATTTCCATTGTGTATTTCCAGTAAACAATGATTGACATATCATTAATATAATTGGAATACTTTAATAGAATTATTTCCCATGCCAATGTACAATTTATTATGCTCACAATTAAAAGTTATACACTGAGGTCCTTTCAAACCATCGCCCTTGTTTAAAATTTCTTGTATTATATCGCAGGTGTCGGATATCTGGAACACGTTGTGTGAAAATCTCCCACACACATAAACTGAACCATACTTGTCCACTGAAGAACCATGCGGTCCGTAAAGTTTATCATCTTTAAATACGGCCATGGTATTTCCTTCTTTTGTTATAGATATTACTGTACCAGGGCCTGGGGATGCCCAGTTTGAGACATACATATAATCTTGTTGGGCTTGATTTACTGAAACATAATCAGGAAATTCCGTAAAACTTCCCTTAAATGTTTTAACTATTGTTCCAGTAAATGTTAATATTTTCACAGAGGGAGGCTTTCTGAATGAAACAACTAAATTATCATTTATTCGATCAATACCAAAACATTCACTTTTCATATCCATCTCCTTTTTCACCTTTAAACTGCATGAGTCAGCTAATTCTAAGAGATGGATTTTCCTTCTATAAGGATAGGTCACAGCAATCTGAGTTGCTTCAGTTTTGACCAGATCAAATGGCTTTATTAACGCACCTGAACCATCCAGCTTATGGACGGATGCCAAATAATTATTCACAGTGTCAACGACTTTCACAGATTCGTTCGTATGGTCGGCGGCAATAATTATAGATTCTGACATTATTTCTACACCAGTTATCACACATTCTTTGTCATCACACGGAAATCTGACATTGATATCTTTCTCAAACTTTGGAACTTTTGCACACTTATTCTTGATATCGAGTCTGCCAATTTCTGTCAAATTTTGAAGCATTTCGACAATGCTTGGCTCAGGTACAAATTGATATCTTTGGATATCGCTTTCCTCCCCAAAGTTTTCAAGATCTGTAGACACAATTTTTACTGAGTGTTTGGCACGTTTTGCTGTTACAAATAACTGTCGCATATTACCTTTAGTTTTATAGTTACTGATTTTCAAAAGATTCTCATTGAGATCTTTTGATTGATTCTCCACACGTAATTCAATATCAAGCAATTTTGTCTCATCCATGCTTATTATATCATCAATTGACCGGTTTATTTTCTTTTCAAAAATGTCAAACATTTCGTCTATATCTGTACGTAATCTCTTTACCACGGATTTCGCTCGTTCAGCTTGAATTCTAACAGCTTTCGTTTTGCGGTTTATATCATTTTTAAAATCATTGTTACACTTCAATAATTTCTTTAAGGTTGTTTGGAGCTCGTTTAGTTCTTCACTTGATGAAAATGACGAGGCTACCTCCGAAATTAAGTCAACTTCCTTGCAGTTTCTATGTTCAGCTTTTTTGCATTTTAGACATCCAACTACATCATGGGAATGGCAATAATATTCCAAAACACAGTCTTTGTGTTTTTCACAGATATCTGTGAAATCTTTATTAATTCTTTTAATTTGTTTCACCTGTGGCATCAACATTTTTCAGCACTAGAGAGAATACCTCTATCCTATCTTTCGTAGCACAGTAAAGAAGCGTTAAATATGACGTGTTGTCATTCAATGTCGTGACTTACTTTCTATTAGCCAAAATCTTTTTCTTATCCTCTTAATTATTTAAAAAAATTAATGAGCATGTATATTAATTCTTTCTATAACCAAAAAGATAAAAGCCACAAGAAGATTTGAAACATTCCACTGAAATTGTATAACTTAAGAATTATAAACTTCAATACGCAATATGAATTCTCAAATTACTGGAAGGATCAATAAATGTTATTTTTTTTATCATTCTACAAGTTTAAAATATAAGCTTTCTTTAGAGTTAGTCAACCGCTCCATTCTATTGTTTATTATTACGTTAGGACAAAACAAATTAAATTTTAAATAATCAATTGAAATTTAAGTGCTTCACATTTTTACATCAGACATTTAAATTTCGTTTAACGGTAAGTGCTTCCTTATTAAATCATTTTACACAAATATTTTTTTGTAAAATGTTTAAACAATGGTTTTAGCGCTTAAGTTGCTTATAACCTGAAGAAAGTATTGAAGTACACTGAATGTGAAAGTATTTAAACAAGCTTTACAGCAATTGAAACAAAACCATTCCGAGGACACAATGTTCCTTTAAATATAGATACATGTACAAGGTAACATCGTTCTCATTCATAAGACAAATATTTTAAAACAACAACAACAACAACAACAACGTACCCCTCCCCTCCAAAAAAAAAAAATTAAAACAACCAGAAGCTTATTTTTTCGTGTATTTTCTGATATAATAAAGAAAAATATAACTTTTGATTATGTAAAGATGATTACAGTAATGTAATTAAAATTAAATCTATACCAAACTCTGCCAACTCAATATGATAATTGAAATGTTCTTCTGGTCCTGCTCGCTGCAATTGATTCGACCTATGAAACCAGTGCAAAAAAGACTAGCCGGCTCATCCGTGTTATATGGTCATGGTCTGCACTGTTATCTATTCAGCCAGAAAGAATTTAAATGTTTTCCCCTAAAATGATAAATAATTTGGTCAAGATGGAAAGATAGGCACGTTAATTTACGAAATTCAGGGGGGGGGGTGTTAAAGTTAAAGTATGTTAGGATAGTAAAATAAGCTTTGTAAAAGATGTTTTCGCTGATAAAGTTTACCTTTACACTTGAAACAAGAAAAACAAATGACAATTTGAAAGAAATAAAATAATCCACCGAGACGTAGTAATTATAAGCATACACAATTACCTGTCTAATATTTACTTAAAGGCACATTATGCTTAAGAAACGAATATTTGATTTCAATATAAAGTACAAGAATGGGTTTTATAATGTTTATATGACTGTTTAAATGCTCGTTAAATAAATATTACTTGAAGGGATTAGCACTGAATGTGAACATATTAGTCAATAAAATAGCAAAGTGTAATATAAAAAAAACAACTTAATCAGTATAATCATACTCATTGCAAAAATTAACAGAAACAAAGGATGGTTCAGGTCATAGGCCGATGAGTATTTTCTTACATACTATAACAGGACACAAAAACCTAGAAACTCTGGAAATATAATAAATAAAAACATAAAAACATTTCTAGGGCACAATGGGCCTCTAAATCTGTTTAATTTTTTTCAGATTCCACTGTTGCTTTTAAAAATTGTCATTAATATCTTTACACATTATTCGGCAGCAGGATGTAATAACAAAAATGTGGCATATAAAATGTTATACATGCAGTGGTAAAAGTGAATCATACGTAAGTCCTTTAAAGGCACGTTAACGTTATGCTAAAACAATGCATTTATTTCATTTCTCAAAAGCTTTTTTTATTTTTGTGTGTACTTTTATGGTTTCTTAAATGTTACTGACCAATTACTTTTATCATCTTTTTCCTTATATTGATATTTGGCAAATATAACTACAGTTATATATAGTGATGCAGTATTTTGTATGGAAGCCAAAATACTACTTTGTTTCCATTTTGCTAATACTATGACAAATTATTTCACATTTAGCGCAACAAGCATCTTATAATTCCCTTAAACCATTTTTTAAATGTTATTAAATTCACGTTTGCCATTTCTAAAGAAGTCAAATTTCATTTGATTTTGAAACATAATGTGCCTTTAAAAAGTAATCTGTTGATTCTTTCTCATAAGTATGTGATACTAAGTTTCGTAAATATCGAAAAGACAAGTAAAACAAATGCACAAATCATTTCTTTACTTAGTCCAAATATAGACGTAAAATAAACTATACATATCTTAATTACTTACGTGCGTTTATTTTTTCCAATACGCTGTAAACAGGAAAATAATAAAAAGGAAGTTTCGAAATCGGTCAAATAATACATGCACGGAGAACATTTTGATATTGTCAAGTTCAAAAGTTTGGTCTAAATAGAAAGCTAGAATTCTTATTGTGAAATAAGCCACCCTTTGCTTACCCCATTCACATATGCTCATTTTGTAAAATTTGCTTATTTCATCATGTGAAACCGAGTATTTTCTAAAACACATATAAAAAAATCCACCATCCTTGTCATACTTTTTGTATGCAGAGATTTTAGAAATTACTATATAAATCATAGGAACCCTTCTTCAAACTAGAATTAAACAAACTTCATAATCGTTATTACGAGTAGTAGTCTAATATGAATGTATGTAGAACGTTATACTAATGCATATTGCTAAAACACGTTGAAATGAAGGTTATCGGGTAGATAGACATGGAAGCTTTATATGGAAACCTTATTTATTAAAATGTATTCCATGTATAGCTCGCTACATTCTCTACTCTGTTATACAAAAATAATTCGGATCAGAGTATGCCAGTGAAAAATAATCGTTGTATCCTTAGTATAGGGTGTAAAGACAAGCATTAAAAAAAAGACAATCAGTATAAAGTAAGTAATGTATACCATTTTCTTTACATTTCAGGGTCCCGTCATTAACGTTGTTGTTCCTGTTCTTAAAGACAAATCTGTAAAAGCAAAATATTACAAGACATAGGTTCTCCGGAAACTTCATAATTTTTTCGAGACCGAAGACCCACAACAGATTTGCCCAATGTCAGTTTGCTGTATGATGACACATGCGTCATCGCATAATGCGTCTATAATGCAGAAAAACTCGTTGGGCTCCCCTATCCTCCGTATTCACATGGCCTTGCTTTTGCTAGTACTGTCCATAAACAAGCTATATCAAAATGAATCTGCAGAATTTTCAATTAAGGATTCTATTTCACTCTATTTCTTTGCCCCATTGTAACTTCTTTTTGTTCCAAAACAGCCAAATATATACCGTTCAAGTTGAAAATTTGTTCAGCGCAAACACCCCGGTTGTGCACTATAATAGTGTCTTCATAGTAAACCTAAAAAACCTACGAAATTGCCTTTCAAGGATTGGATCCGGAGACAGAAACTTTGTGAAATCTGTTTGAAGTGAAGACCTTAAGGGAAAAAAATAAAACAAAACAGTGAAACCTATTAAATAATCGTATTCTTTTTTTACTTAGATGTATTAATATTTGAACACTCCTTAATCTTGTTTTGTCTTTATTAATACGAAAATGCGATAATTATAGTGTCTTAATGACATTTTATGCAGTTACAGAGTAAAGCATCATAGCATATTTGTTTTAATTGCATTTATATACCTTTTACATTGCTAGTACTAGTGGATTAACGACAGCCGTCTATGGACATGAAAGGGCTCATTAAAACCTACTTTATCATCAATGTTTCAACAATTCATGATTTCTTATCATTATTATTCTCTGTACAATTCCAATGAATTTTGAATCTAGATCTTATAACTCATATCAGTTTTTCTTACAAATAAAATGTTTTCAAAATTTTATTTATCTCTCTGTATATATGATTTAACTAATTTGAATTTTTATCATATGTATTGCATTTATATCGACGAGAAGCGTACGTAGGGATTGAGTCTACAAATAAAGCTTCTGTTCTGTTCCGTTATGTTTTGTCTTGTTCTAAATAATCATATCTCTTTTTCTGTTAAGATTTTATTCTTTAAGATTGAAACTAAAGGACCAACTTTATCATTTTATAAAAGTTATAAGTGAAACAAGATAATCAAACTTATTACAGGATGTTCAATGAAAAATGCCATTTGTTCTGGTACCTATGCCTAGCTGATAAGTACCAAAAGATTTATATCAATATTTTCAATTAATCATCATATACATGGCAAAAGGTCTCTAAATTTAGATGTTAATTTCAATGAATATCGCACATGGCAAAAAACTTTTGAATACATGACACACGCAGTTGTTTATTTTTTTTCTTCCTTTCTTTAATTTTTCCTTTTCGTTGTTTTTTTAAAAACTAGATTTACGTAGGTTTTGTAAAGTTCGCCTTTGTTTCGTGTTGTTGTGGTATTTCTTGTGGTATTCTGATTTTACAGATAACAATATGAATAGAACAACATCATCCTATTTGTATTTGTATGATGTATTTACGTAGCTTTGCTTTATATTCATGAACATTCTCTTGTTGGATTTAGTTTTGATTTGAAAGTTAGAGTGAACTTATATGGTTTTGGACACTTAATATTTTTCATTTACTTGCGACCAAAGTGAGACTATGACAATGAAGGAAAACATATCTGTTATATTTATAGCTTCAGTGATAGTGCTAATCGGAACAAATTGTGACGCTGAAGTGTTGAAAAGCAATGGAACTGCTGGGAAAAATCTGGACGCACAAACCCTTGTCGCTTACGGGCGGGAATTCAATGATTCTCTTATAACAATGATTGGGAGGGTAATTGAAAATTATCATGTTTGCACTGCCTGGTCAGAATGGTCTGAATGTGGAGCAAAGTTAACTGATTTCTACTCAACCAGAACTCGAACCAGGCGTTGTGGGGGACAGGGAGCAAGTTATGGTCATCGTGATGAAATTGAAGCCGGCGTTTGTGAAGGTAGAGATGAAAATACGAAAGTTTCGTGTCCTGTCAGTTATCATACGACCGCGAAAGGACTTTGCCTAAAATTGTATATGAACAGAAAAACTAATCCGGCTGCAGAAGCCTTGTGCAAGAGTGACGGAGGCTACCTCGTCAACATTGATTCGGATCAAAAGTATGAGAGTGTAAAGGCTATGTTGATAGCCAATGACATGAAAGACGATATACACATTGATGGCAAGCGTATTAACTCGCAGTGGAAGTTTTCATATGGATCAACAAGTGGATATTTCCACTGGTATCCTGGCTATCCTACCAGTGTTGCTACCAATCAATGTTTACGGTTAACTGGAAAAAGGACAACTGCTGACCAACGATTCCTTACATTTAACTTTTTATGTGATAAGGAATTTG